TTAAATCTATTAAACACGTCTTGATCTCCGTGTTTTTCAAAATCCGTAGCAAAAACTATAACATCATGTAAGTAGCAAAAACATTCTGAATCTTGTTAACCTGGTAAGTCTACATCCACCTACCTCTGAAATGCTGAAGGGGATTTAATTATGAAGAGCCTATTCTATTGAGAAACAGATTTCAATCCTTGCTTGTGCAGATGAGAAACTATTGGAGGGAAGAAAAACAAAAGGGTCAGAAAAGGATGTTGATGATAAACTTAAGGAAGTTATAGTTATAGATGATTCCCTGACAAGACATGTGGATAGGATAGTCTGTGGGGTAAATAGGGAGAAAATAATTAGATTATGCTACCCAGGGGCACAGGTGGAGGATATAACTGACAGAGCAAGAGATATAATAAAGGAGGCTAGCAATTATGCTGTTCTTGTTGTTCACCTAGGGGCTCATGATGTAGGAAAGGTAGGTCAGAGGAGTTGATAAAGGCATTTAAAGAAAATAGCCATAACTTAATTGTGTCAGGGATACTACCGAGAATTGTGAGGATGGAATTATGAGTAGGTCACTAGGGCTAAATGCTAGGTTTAGGTTAATATGTAAGGATGAGCAGATTTGTTGGTTGGACTTGTTGAATCACTTCAATGGGAGAAGGGAGATTTTCGGAATGCATGGTTTAGATTTAAATACGGTAGGGTCTGGCTTGTTTGCAAGGGCTATTAACTCTGCTATAAGGGAATTTTTAAACTAAGACTAGACAGTGATGAGGGCCAGAATAAATTAATTGCAAAAAAAAAAAAAAAAGATGTAGAGAAAAGTCTAGCATAGGAAATAAGCATAGAACTTAGAAGTACTTCTAAGGATAGGCTTAATTGTTATTATTGTAATGCTAGAAGTATAAGAAATAAAATATATGACTTTAGCCTTTAGAGCAGTGGTAAGAATGCAGGATTTTGATGAGAGAAATGTCTTTGAAATACAGGATTATAGGTTATTTAATAGGGATAGAGTACTAAGGAGAGGAGGATGAGTGGCTTTAATTTTAAATGTAAAAGGTGAGTTACATCATGGTAAAGTTGAGGATATCAAAGATAATAGAAAGGAGATTGAATCCATTTGGGTTTCTATTAGCAGATATAAAGGGAAAATGCTTTTAGTGGTAATCTTTTACAGACCACCAGATGATACTGATGAAATTAGAGAGAAACTTTACAGTGTGATTAAGATTTCAGCTGTTAATGAGGTTATAATTATGGGTGATTTTAATTTCAAGCATATAGATTGTGAAATTTTAGACTCAAACCATGAGGGAAAAAGGTTTTTGGAAACTGATCAAGATGGTTTTTTTCACCAACTGGTCAAGGAACCTACTAGAAACAATACTATTTTAGACTTATTGCTAACTTCTAATATAGAAAATGTTGAGAGGGTGGAATTGGGGAACATCTGTGGACAAGTGATCATTGCTCTATTAGGTTTGATGTTTTGCTGCATAAGAAGATCATGAATAATGATATTTTGGTTACAAGTTAAAAAAAAAATCAAATTTTGGAGGGATGCAACAAGAATTATCTGTTGTAAGTTGGACTGCTGAATTATCTGGAGACTGATCAAATGTGAAAAAAATGTGTATACATAAATTGTTAAATATTCAAGATAAACATATTCCTTATAGAAAGAAAAGAGTGGTTGCAAGTTAAAAACCAGGTTGGCTCACAAAGGGTATAAGAAATAAAATTAAAGAAAAGCATTACAAATTTAAGAAATTAAAATTGACAAGAAATTTAGAAAATTATAAACAATCAAGAAAGTTGGTCAAAAAGGAAATTAGGACATCAAAAAGGATGTATTAAAAAAGGTTGTCTGAAAATGTAACAATTATCAGTAAAAATTTCTTTAAATACATTAAAGGGTAAACAGAATGTTAGGATGGGGTAGGACACTTGAGGGATATAAAGGAAGGTTTGTATCTGATGATTATGAAATGACTGGGTTATTAAATTCTGCTTTTTCTTCAGTTTTTACTAAAGATTTAAGCAGTATTCCTCATCTTGAACACTTGATATATGGAAACACGCTTGTTCAAGATGATTGCATTATTTCTGAGCTTGTTAAGTTTAAAGAACAAAAAGGCTCCTGGGCCAGATACTATTTCCCCAAGAGTTTTGAAGGAGGTTAAAGATTGGATATGTGAACAAGGTATACTACACTTTTTCTGTCAGTCCTTGAACAGTGGGCAGGTACCAGAGGATTGGAAGTTAGCTAATGTCACTTCTCTTTTCAAGGGAAGTAATAAAAATTGTCCCAATAATTATAAGCCTATTTGTCTTACATCAGCTGTGGGAAAAGTTTTAGAAAGTGTGATAAAAGATGCTTTGCAAAGCTATTTAATAAAGCCTTACAAATCTTTTGACATTTGTTAAAAAAAGGATACTGCTTATGTAGATGAGGATAAGGGTGTAGATTTGACGTACCTGGATTTTCAGGAAGCATTTGACAAGGTGCTACATAAAAGGCTTGTAAAACGAAAAAATATCTCTATAGGTGTGGGGGATAAGTTAGCTGAACGGATTAATGTCACAAGTGGGATATCTTAGGGCTCAGTCTTAGGACCTTTCTTCGTTTTGAATTATATTAGTGACATTAATGAAGGAATGGCCAATAAATTACTTAAATTTGCTTTAAGGTCTTATGTGTTGCTTGCTGTGAAGAGGATACTGTTGCTTAACAAAAGAATTTAGATCATTTAGTGAGTTGAACAAATAAATGCAAGATAATGCATGTGGGTTATCATAATTTGAATTATAAGTATAATTTGGATGGGAATAATCTTAACAGTGTCATGAAAGAAAGGGATCTTGGCATAATGGTTGATCATCCTCTTAAACTATCCAAGCAGTGTGCTATTGCTAGTGGTAGAGAAAATAAAATTTTAGATTTATGAACAGAAATATTGAGTCTAAAGAGGTTATAATTTCATTGTATAGGTCACTGATTAGGCCACATCTGGAGTATAGTGTTCAGTCTTGGATTCCTTATATTAGAAAGGACATTGAATTGTTGGAAAGAGTTCAGAGGAGGGTTACTAGAATGGTGCCTGGGATGGAGGAGATGTCATATGAGGAGAGATTAAGATCCCTGAAATTGTTTTCTCTTGGAAAAAAAAAAGTGTTAGAGGGGATCTGCTTGAGGTGTTTAAGATTTTAAAGGGAATTGATAGTGTTGATTCATCATCTTTTTTCATACTTAATGGCAAGAATAATAGGACTAGGGGATACAAATATAAATTTTGGCAAGGTAAGAGTCCTCTTCAGCTAAGACAGTTTTATTTTTCCATCAGGGTGGTTGGCCTCTGGAATGGGTTGCTTTTAGATGTTGTGGAGGCAGTAAATGTGAGTTTAAGAGAAAGCTTGATAATTGTATGAATGATAAAGGTTGGCTTTAAGATTTTTTAAGTTTATTTACTTAACAATTCTAGTTTAGTTTAGAGAAGTGGTTCCCAACCTTTTGTGGCCCTTGCACCTCCCCCTGGACCCTCATTTTGCATCTCCAGGGGGTGCCAACACCCCTGGTTCAGAGGGTGGGACAGCCGAGATGGACCAATAGGTTCCTTGTTGTCCCTAAACATTATAATCCAAATGGCATTCTATTATGGTATTTTCCTGATGGTAATATAAATGCAGTTTTAGCTTTATCTTCTTCTATCTCTATTGCCAATATAAGCTTTGCAAATCCATAAATAAAAAGTACCTACTTTGAACTAAATTGTCTAGCATTTCCTGTATATTAGGTAATGGGTAAATATCTTTAAGGGTACTTCCATTAATTTTCCTGAAATCAGCACAGAACCTTAAATAACTGTCCTTTTTTGGAACCAGTACAACTGGAGATGCATAAACACTACAACTACTGGCCTCTATTACTCCTTGTTCAAGCATTTCTTTTATGCATACTTTTAATTCTACCCTGTGCTTCTCTGGCATTATATAGGGTCTCTGCACTACATGTTTGTTACTCTTTAACACTATCCTGTGTTTTACCTTGTTTGTACACCCACTGGGATCACCATCTCCCACAAGTATACCTCTACACTCTTTCTAGTAAGTTCCCTAATCTTTGTTTATGTTTTTCTCTGTATCTCCTATGATAGAATCCCAAAATACCTTACTCTATCTTGCATGTTTTTTCTTATATTCAGCATTATGCTGTCTTACTGCAGATAGTTTCTCTCTAATGCTAGCCTTACCTACTACCATATACTTAAGCAGTATCACTTTACTATCTTTTACATTTAAAACTTTTATAGGCACTATGTCTCTCTCAGACACTTTACAAATGCAAGCAGGGGTATAAACTTCTAATTTTTCTATCTCTATTGCCTCACTTCCCAGCTAACAATTTCACATTGCTGCAACATTATGTAATGGTTGTCACAACATTAGAGGTTTACGTTTTAGCAACGTAAATTTGTGGACTCCCAGAAACGTTGCATTGTTACTTTCCTACAACCATTATGCCAACATTTTTTCAATCCTATTGGGACTAACAAGGTGACATCATTTCAACACTGTTTTTCTCACACTTATACTTAACCTAATTGCATGAAATTTGGTATACACTTTTTACATATGTATGTTTTGTTTGAAAAATATAACAATTTGGTGTAATGTTTACATATTTCTGGTTATATTCTAGTGAAACACTTTCTTCTTTTTTACATTAAAAACACCTCATCTTAGAATTTCTGTTTCTGGCTATTTTGTGTCTAAAATCATGTAAATGTATCCAACAGTTATTTCTTCATTAGTTCTAGTAACAGTAAACTAACTTTCTCGTCTGTTCATACAGTTACTGGAAAATATTAAAGAATGAAAGAAAATTGTATTATTGTTGATTAGGAACTATTTTTATATATTGAATGAGAGCTGCCAACCAGTTGTAATAGGGTTAAGCCCACTTGTTAACTGATAAAATAATAAATTCATTTTCTTTCATTCTCATAAATTTATTCAACATTTATTCTCTGATAAAAACTTTTATACAATTTGATTGCAATTATTATTGATGACACTTTTCCACTTAGAGGTTTTTCTAGTTATCAGTCAGCTCTTCTTTTTCCATTTAATCATTTTCTAATGTCTGGCCACCATTTGCTGAAGTAGATTTCTCCAAAATATCCAGCAATATATATATATATTACTTTTATGAACATAATTTTTCCATTATGTAGTGACACAGTGTAAGGGAAAACTCCATTATAAATTTTCACTCTAGAATTATTGAGTCCAACATACCTTGTGTCTCATTCCTCATGGCTTATTGGGAGCAAGTTTCAGAAATTATGTCACCTTGTCTTCAATAGTGTTTTCCTTTAGCTTTTGGTGGGTCTCAAGGCAAGCTTCTGCAACAAACACAAAATTAAAAAAAAATTTTGAGAATGGTTAACTGGAAGATAATTTCTATTTCATTCTCTTAAATATTGAATTATATAATTATCTCATAAATTCTTAACTGGTATTGTTACTTTGAAGTTTACTAAGGTAATACATATATACACACACAAAAACTTTAGAATCTATTTCTCATAGGTTAGTCCTTTTAAGTCATCTCAATGTGTTTCTATTTTAAGGTTTACGGTGTTAAAACCAAAATTAACATATTATGCATTAACAATGATTAAATTTCAACATGTACTTTTAATGCATTTGAAGAGTAAAAGATTCATGAATGCCTCCTTTTGTTTTCCTTATGCCTGTTGCCCTTCAGATTGTAAGTGGACCACAACCTGTAGGTGCCTATCTTTGGCATGATTTGTTGGATTGTTTCCCCAAAAGTTTGGCCTACCTGGGAGCCCATGAAGTTAACCTGTAAAGCAAACAAGGAAAAAAATATAGAAAATATTTAATTTAATGGACTATGATGCAACTATGTATATCATATACAAACATACATTTTATATGCTAACTGTCATGCTAACTTACACTTTTAAGCCTATTTGATATATTTTTAATCACAATTATGATTCATTGATTCTAAAGCATTTAGAAATCACTTAAGAACTACATTCAAAGGTTTTACTTTACACTATTAGTATTGCACTATGTCTATAAATTATCTTTATACTAGTAATTTAATACCATGCAAAAAAATTGCATATTTTGCTTAAGTAAATTGATTCAAAAATTCAACAAATACTCCCAAATCAAAACACCACAAAAATATTTTGTAGGTCTATACATGTAAAATTACTGGTAACTTTCAAAAATATGTATTAAAAACCTTAGGAGGAGAAAACTTATGTCATGAATACGTACTCCCATTTAGCCTAAGCTAAAACTTTACATCCGAAAGTGGAGGACAACAGAGTAATTGGGTAAAGTTTCAAAATTAGGAATTGAAAACTACAGAAGATAAAAAATTCAAAAATTTAAAAACAATTGTAATATAGGTATTTGTGCTAATTTATTTTCATAATAAATCAAGTGATACAAACAGTAGTGACATATCTTCAATTACCTGTACAAATACTATTAGTCGGTAAAAACTGAAGCCGCTGAAGTTCTAGTTATCACTTTTGCAGCAGAATTTTGCCGATAATGCTCATTATACCATATGGTTTTGTACAACATATCATTCAAGTTTGAAAAATACTGTGATCAATGTAAACATAAAATTTAATGATCAAATTTTATATTTTAATTAGAACATAACTTATTTAATATCTTCCTTTATGTATAGATTGACTATAAACTATTGTTATGTATATTATCAAATTTTATATTTTAATTAGAACATAACATATTTAATATCTTCCTTTATGTATAGATTGACTATAAACTATTGTTATGTATTTCTTACGAAAATACGTATACAAATCTGTTCATTTCCACATGAAGAACATTGTGACAATTAAGTTAACAACCCAGTGACAATGCATAACTATATAATTATAATTACGAATTGTAAAATCAAAGATAAATGATCTATTTCTTATTCATAAAACAACTGAAATAACAGGTACTTGCACAGTAGAAAGTGTAAATGTATTATTTAGGCTACAATTAGTGTTTGAATAAAAGTTGTGCATACAACATTGCTGACATGTTTGAAAATGTTTTCCTACTTTGCAAATTTTCAAAAGCATACACCATACAAAAATACATCAAATATTGTTGTTCAGTAGTTCAAAACATGTAAACTGCTATTGGATTTTTTATACGTTGCTTGTTTCATGAATATATATATATTCACCATTAATGTCTAACAGTGCCACAATATTGTCACAATACATATTGCATGACGTTGTGGATTTTACCAATGCACAACTATTCAGCAACGTTGTAGAAATGTCATGTGTTAGCTAGGTTAAAACTTTTTCATTTTGCCTAAAGTCCTCTATTTTAACTTAAACAATAATTCATCTTCTCTCGGGTATTTCAGTTACTGTAACTAGTCTTACAAGTATTCTTTTTATCAAACTCTCCTGTTGGGATGCTCTGTTACTGATTTAGGTGTAGAGTCATCTGAGGGGTTTCTGTATCTATTTACCTGTCTAAAATTTTCTTCCCTACATTATTTTGCCTTACTTTGCTATTGCTTACTTCTTTTTGTTTACTATAACAACTGCTATAAAACTAATACTAGTACTGTTGCTAGTCTTAGGACTTTTCTTTTTAGTCTGATTTCTTCATGAACACTTAATCACATTACACTGCTGACTTTGTCATGTATCCTTACATTTAGGCCTATCAGTACTTTCCTGTTTTGACATTTGATCCTTAGCCTCATTACTTTGCTTAGTGCTAGTGTTCAGGATCTAACTATTAGTTTGAGTCAGCTGGAATATATCATTCATCATCACATAAGTCTGAAGGTATAATCCCTTCAAAACATACGATCCCTGTTTCTATGCACAGTTTACCTCTGGTAATGGATATTTCATTGTCAGAATTTTGTAAGAAATCCTACCCTAGAATACCATTTGTTTCTTACTCTGCCTGTTTACAGTACAAAGTATGTTCAAGTTCTGAGTTCCCTACTTCTATTTGAACACTATTTGTCTAGCATTTTAACAGGATGTCCTGTCATGGAAGTTAAGATACTTTTTGAAACTTCCTTCCATACATTATTTAATAATGTCAGATTTTTTTTTCACTAATTTTTTTCAAATTGACAAGAGTGGACAGTACATGCTGAAAACGAGCCTTACTATCCATTGCATTTGAGGCAATTTTTAGAGTAGAAAAACATGGCGACAATAGGAGTAAATGAATATTTCAATAGACACTTCACTAGCAATTTCTCAATTAAACAGATCAACAGATCTATTGAACAAAAACTGATAACGATATGCTTAGCCAGTTTTATATTTCTAATATTGCTTAAGTCAATTTTCAGCAATTTAAATGCTCTGGATGCACATAGTGTTTTAGAAACCTTCTCAGAAGGTTTCTGATCATAGATTCAAGACCACAGCTGACAAAAGGCAGTATAGGGTGGTCACTCTGATATATCATCAGAAATTGGGAGAGTTCTTTATTTTGAAGTATAAAATAACTTTGCACCAGAAAGAATATAATTTGTTGAAGATTTCACACTATTAAATGCTTGACTTTTTTGGTGCTGTGTAAGGGTTTGGTTTGGCTTCAACTGCTTTTAATGTATGTTTGGAAATTCAGAATAATTTCAGTTGCCCTTTGTACAACAGGTGCATTCTCTATGCATCAGGTAGAACAAAATTTCAGTGCATAAACATGAGACCCAGTAATTTTCTTCATCTTCCCATCTGGCTGAAGAATCACTGAAAAGATGGTACATTGATTTAGTATTACTTGTACATTTCAATCAGAGGCATTTAAAGCCATACAAAGAGTCCCATGGACTGTGTGTAGACAACAAAACCCAATGTTGATTAAAGATGTGTCAAAATTTGTAGTTTTTAACTTTGATTCTAATTTCTCATGGAATGACCAGTTAACATTTGGACCATCCATACCTATTTGCAAAAGATGACTAAGATTAAGCTCTTTTGTCAGCTGTAAGAAATGGCTTAAAAGATTTTAGCCTGTGTGTAGCCATGAAATGCAGAATCAAGAAATCTAGTCATAAGATTTTTTGCCGAGACAAAGTATCGAAGATACACATCAAGTTGATCCTTTTGGTTTTTATTTGGATGCAATTTTACTATCTGCAAATATCTTTTTAAACAGTTCATTTTTGTTTTCACACCTAACAATGGTCTTCAGGACCCTCAAAACCTCAGTTTTTCACTCATCTTCTTTTGAAACATATGAATCCAGTCTCTCCTTAAATGAATAAATTGCATAATGTGGTGCTGACACCTAGATGAAAAGAAATGAATCATCCAAAGGCTAATTGCAAAATAATGCAACTTTATTAAATTGTATTGTGCATTTAAATCAATAAAATTTGTCTCATTCCCCTTATATTAAATTTAACTTAGGAATATCATTCAATTACGTGCTGGACTATGGCATCATGTTGATTTGTCGCAACAGTAGGCCTAACTGTTGATGTTATATCTGGTTTCGGTCTAGATTAAGATGATATCAAACTGCATATGGTCAGCATGGCTGCTGTTGATGAGTACAAGTTATGCACATTAGCCTCAAGCTTTTTCCTCCTCATATGGCTTATCACAGTGGGCTCACCCATATTGCCAACATCGAACTTTTTATGCCACACATTGCAACAAGCTTCTAGGCGATGTGTACCTGTAAGGAGCCATTCCTTGTACTCATCCATCAGAAGCCATGCATTGTTAAATATACATTTACCCAGTATATTTTACGCAAGTACACATTCACGTCGATACCACAGAACATAAAAATAATGACAGAAAAAACGGGTGAATAGCGATTACATAATTGCTTGAATGACGAAGGCTCAGAAGTCAACGGTCTCATTCAACCTTGTACTGGTGAAGTAATTCAAATTTCTATTCACTTTACAATATTTTTGAACTATATTGTTGTATTATATAGACATCCAATATTTGTTAAGCCAATGTATTAAAGTTTAAATTACAAAATTGGTTATTAGTTATTAGCAAATTCAGATCAGCAAGAAGAGCTTTATCGTGCAAAAACCTCCACCAATAGTAGTGCTGCACACCTACGTGACTCATGCGACTCCCTCTATGCTATTCTACCTGTGAATGGTAAAGGTTTGGTTTTGAATTTCGTGCAAAGCTACACGAGGGCTATCTGCACTCGCCATCCCTAATTTAGCAGTGAAAGACTAGAAGAAAGGCAGCTAGTCATCACCACCCACCAACATCTCTTGGGCTACTCTTTTACCAATGAATAGTGGGATTGACCATCACTTTATAATGTCCCTACAGCTGAAAGGGCAAGCATGTTTGGTGAAACTGGGATTCAAAAATGCGAACCTCAGGTTGTGAGTCAAGCACCCTAACCACCTGGCCATGCCAAGTCTGGTTGGTAAACAAACAATACAAAACAGTGTCCCACCCCATAAAATCCCCAAAGCAAAGAAGCCATGTGTGGAGGGAAAGAAATGAAAATGGGAAATGCCCCAATATGGATGATAGGACAAAGAGGTATCCCACAAAAATCACCTAGATATAGGTGAAATGCCTTAGAAAGGAGGTGTAAGGTAGACATTTCCTCTAGGAGAGTCGATAGGGTAAAACAAAGCTGGTAAACTAGGTGGGGGATAAAATGGATGGGATTAACAGACTGCCCCCCATACAGGCAACAGAGATTCTAAGTACATAGAATCAAGAAGAAAATCTGCCTGATGGTAAGCTAAGGCAAATTGAACCAAAGCCTGTGGAAGGCGAGACATGCAAGTACCCTTTCCAGAATAGAGAGACAAAAATGCTCAACATGAAACACAATGTCTAGAAAAGGAGTGGAAAATTATACTGTGAAATGTTTTTAAAAAAAGCTGAGGTAGGTCTAACAGATTCTGCAGTAGAGGTCTGGGAAGGTAAGCCATAATCAGGTGGAGGAAAACTGACAAAATATAGGTCATATAAATGGGTTTGGCAGTTGTAGGAGGAAGGTAAGCAATATTGGGAGAAGGTAGAGTGTCCCTGAGGGGTCCCCACAAACTAAATTAATTGTAAGAAGTATAAATTATAAAGAATTAAGAAAATTAAATAGTCAATATAATGTAAATTTAAGTAAGTGTGTAGTGAAATACACATATGTATAAGATGTTATGTGTTGAACAAATCAAGATATTTAACCTAATTATTGATTTAGATGAACTACACGTAAACTGAAAATAACACACTTGTTAAGCCTTATTGAACTGTGCAGGACAAAGTATATCACTAAGCTCTAATTTAAAAATCCTAACCTAACAATAATACATACAACATCGGGAGAAGAAGTTTCTGCTGATCCCAGCTTCAGGAGTCCACACAAAGTTAACATGAAGTATAAAAGATAAATAATAATGAAAATGAAACATACATTATACTGTAAAAATAAGAAAGTGTGTAATGACAATAATATATGTATGAGATGTGATGTTTTAAAAAAATATATATATATATATAACCTAATTTACGATATAACAATACGATGAATTACAAATAATCCAAAATAACAAAGATCCATGTTAAGCCTAATCTAATGCTATAAGACAAAGAATATAATGAAGCTCTAATTTTAAACCTGAATATTGACCAATCTAACTAAACTTATGTTACTGAACCCAAATAACTACAGATAATTATATTAACAGTAAAAATATTCAAAAACTATAATAGAATAATGCCTAGTCTTTCCAAAGTGGGAGAAAGTATTTCAAGATGTGTGGGACTCCAAACTCAAGTTGAGGCCCAATAAAGGTCAACTCATTGGACAATCAATTTCCCAATGAAATAAAGCCGATAATTGGCCAATTGAAAACCACCACCTGAAGCCTATGTAAACATGCTGATAGAAGATATAACCTCTGAAGTGGTAACTTAGAATTCATAATTCAAAATGAATAATCAAACACTACCGTGTTGACAGAAATAAATAAAAAGTAAAGAAAATAATTTGTAATGAAGTATTAAGTTCCATAACTGGGTAGAAATATAAAATAATTCCACTTCAGAATAAGTTACAAATGTCACTATCAAAAAGTGATATCAAAAAAAAAAAAAAAAGAAACTGAAGAGAGCACAAGCTAAATGTCAGAACATGAATACTGCCAAACAGAAAGTGATAGTTAGGTAGAATAGCAGAGGAAGTCATGTGGGTGCATGGCAATACTATTGGTGGAGGTTTGTTGCATGATAATTTGCATGTGGGAATCAGTCAAACCATGTGAATTGAGATGTGCATGGGAGTGAAAGGCTTGTGGCATGCAAAAAAATGTTTGCAAATAGAAGACAGCACTGAACAAGAATAGCTCTGTATGTGAGTGGAAGTAAGGTACCTTGTCGGAGATAACTTTTAAGGTACTATATTAAAAAACAAACAAAATGTTTTTAAAAACATTAATTGTCTGGCACATGAACTTAATAGTTTTATTTGAAATTGAATGTTTTTATTTTTAATACCATAACTGAAAATCTGCTGCATGTGTTAAGTCACTCATTTACTTTGTAAATCTTACAAATGGGAAAGTATGGATTTCTTTTTACTAGAAAAATAATATTACTTACGCAAGTCATTAATAAAGCAATGGACAAAAAGGCTAATTGCAAACTGCACCCAGTTAACTTCATGTACAGAACAATTTCACAACAACAAAAATTATTATATTTAGAATATCAAAGAACCTGTAACAAAATTCCACAAGGAAAAAAAAAACTGACTTTTTGTTATGGTGTGAATGCCTTTTTGCTGGCAAAGCATATTTATAATCGATCATATTTGTTATAGACAATAGTATTAGTCTTATTTAATTTTTAATCACTACATTGATTAAAAAATGAAATTACCTTGCAACCTTTAATATTTACTCTTCTTAAAGAAACCATAACAGACCAAATTAAAATTAGAAATCCTAATATTAAGCCCAATATTATTGTCTCATGACAAATATGATTGACTAAACACTGATGTGTAAAGGTTATGTACATGTTACTTTTTACTTTTGTTATAAATCAGTGAAACTTCTAGAATGATAAGATCTTACAACATGAAATTTCCATGAGCTTGAAAAGATTGTTCATTTAACTGCAAAAGAATGTAACAAGATTATTATAGCCTAGAGCCAGAATCAAGCAGTCTGTCCTTCAATATAAACATAAAGCACAGACAAACTTTTTTCTGTAGAAAAAAAACCTACACAAAATTAATTAAAACTCCAGTCAAATAGTAGAGGTCTTTAAGTACTCCAAAGAACATAAAAACAACCTGATTGAGGTATGAAGAACATTTAATCTGCTAAGAAGAATGCAAGAAGTGCTGTGATGATCATCTGACCATACAATGATTCTCTACTAATGAACCTGTTCAGGAATACCCTGCTGGAAGCTTGTCATTTGATAGAAACATAATGTTTGACTTCAGCCATGAAGTATGAGAAGAGGGTCATTAACACTTAGATAAGCACTTTTTTTCACTAGTTTCTTAGGCAGAAGCATATCCACATTGTTTTACTGAATAGGGTCAGCATTTTAATTGTTCATTTTTTTTCCAAAAATCTGTAAAATTTGGGCATTATTTTATCAAAAATAAATTTCAAAATGTGTATTTATGTATCACATTCACAACTGGAAATTCCTTTAGCCAGTGGAATTGAATTTAAAAAAACCTGCACTGTAGCACAACAAATATGAAAGTGTATCCATGGTTAATGTAATCAGCAAAAGAAGATGGTGCATTCTACAAATACTGTATGCTATGTGAAAACCTCACCATACAAAATACTCAGCAACTTGATAAGTTTATGTGCTTAAACAGAATGAAAGTCAGTTATTACAAACATTTCTAATAAATCAAAGTAAATGTGCTTACTATAACTATGCATGTTGTAATAGTTGAAATTAAGTTGCATAAAATTCAATAAACTGTTAATCTTTGTTTAGTTCCCATTAAAACAATAAGGCATAGTAACAAACTAAGTTTCTTTGGTAGCAGGCTGTAGTTTTTACAACACTTAGCAACTTATGATAAAATTTCATGAGCTGAAATATTTTCTTCAATCTGTTTGAATTAAACATAAGCAGGTAAAATTTGACTGTACATTATTTCATTGTACATTATCTGAACTTCATGTATTGAAATATATTAAACTTAATTACATTTGTAAGATGGTAGTACTAGGTTTATAATATTTTTAACACCATAACAAATGCTATTGTAACAAATGGCTTATATAAATGGTATTCCACCATTACTATGTTTGTTTTGTCCAAGTTAGCTTAATGAACTCTCTATCGAGTAAGATGTGCAATCAACAATAGATATAGGAAACATAGTATGGTTGAAATATTTTTATATACTCTTCTTCTAGAAAAATCCTAAGGAACTGAATAAAGAATGTAGTATTAAAAATAAACTAGGCCTACTAATGTGTAATAAAAAGTATAATTAGTTATAATCATGCTTCACCAGCTTAGAAAATTTGTTTACACCACTGTTATAGTGAATTGTTATATGCATTGAATGATGTAAATTTTACAATTAATTTCATTAGGAATTTTGGTAAATTAGCCATATGTTGGTATTTGAGTTGGCACACAGTATCTCTGCTTACTTTGTCTGTCATGTGTATCTTAGGTGGGATGAACATTTCATAATAAGTTTGTCCACTAACAGGGTGCAGCAGCCTTCTGTGATTCGTTGCATTAGTTGTGATTCCTTGATTCCAAATTGAATAACAGCAATGAGTTTAGTTTTATGTTTTCTTAGAATTTCATCCAGTTATAAAACAGATCTTGGGTTCAGGAAAGAACACAAGAAATTGTAGTAGATATACATCCTACATGTACATATGCAACAACAATTAGTAGTTATTTAAGATTTATCTCCAGTTACTACAGGCAGTTTTATGATGGCACAGAATTGCACAGAATTAAGAAAGAAATGCATGGAAGTCATAACAGTCAACTATACAGTAACAATATGAATGCAAGTACAACAGGCAACTGTATGGGAACAACAGGAATGTAAGTACAACAGACAACTGTACAGGACAAATATGAATTCATGGAAGTCATAACAGTCAACTATACTGGAACAATATGAATGGAAGACACAACAGGTAACTGTAAAAAAAGAAAATGAATAGAAGTCAAAATAGGCAACTACAGGAACATACAGTGCATTAGAAGTTGCTATGGACAACTTGAGACCAACAAAAGTTATACTTCTTCACACTAACAATGTATTTCCAACAAGTACTTACCTCCTCTCAAATAAATAGCTATATTCGTTCAGTGCTGCCCTCTACATGCAAACATTTTTTTTACACATGTCACAAGCCTTCTACCTTCCTTCCATTGGAATTGACTGATTCCAATACATCTCTCATGCAAATCATCACGTGTGAACCCTCTATCAGTAAGAGTGTGACATATCCTCATGACACATGTGACTCTCCCTATTCATTTCTATCAAACTATCACTTTGAGGTTTGGCAGAAGATGGAAGCACTGGTTTTCAGTGGGGAGGAAGGGTGGGAAGTGTGAGTTAGTACATTTTCAGTGTAGTAACATTATAACTTCAGACACGGTACATTACCTCTGCTCACATAAATAGCTAAAATCCCAAATTGAATAGGTGGAGGGACTGGTGGGAGGAAAAGAAAGAAAGAAGCATCCTTCGAAAGCATCTGAAAGACACTCCCTAAGAGGAGACAGTCAAATTCTAATATCTGATTATAAAAGTGGGTAAAATGAAAAGGATGTGCCCCTAGATATAGAGTGGCTCGGGAATGACAGAATGTACATGGCGAGTCAACTACATCCAAAACCCATACCATTAGGGAACAACATCGATGTGAGGGTAGGATGAGGACCATACCGTCACTAAGTCAACTACAATCCAAAACACAACTGCTGGGTACTGACATCCATGTGGGGGTAGGAAAGAGGATCATACCGGTGGCAAGTCAACCACAATCCAAATCCCAGGCCACTGGGAACCAACATCCATATGAGGGTAGGAAAGAGGATCATACTGGTGGCAAGTCAACTACCTTCAAAAACCCAGAAATCTGGCAGTGATAGGAAAGAGGATCATACCATCTTCACCTCAAGTTCATGAGACCAGACTCATGAACAGGGCACATGTGAATATGATAAATTGATAGATCAACCCGGGAACCCGACATCCAGTATTGAAAAGATGTCCACATAATGTAAACCATCTCCCTCAAAAGTGAAATTGACTGGAATCACCCCAAGCACATTAACAACCTTGGAATAAGAAAAATCGAGGGTTAGTGAAAGGGAAAGAAC